GCACAGCCCTGTGGATTTTGAAAGGAGTGAGCGTAAAAACTGCACAAACGCTAACCATAATCTTTCAGTCTGCCCTGGGCTAGGGAGATTTGCAGAAGACTGGAAAATTTTAAATACTATTGCCTTTTTCAAGAAAGGCTATAAGGATAATCCCAGCAATTATAGGCTAGCTAGTTTAACTTTAGTGTGGAAACTTCTTGAAACAACTATGCGGGATAGAATTAGTAAACAGTTGGAAAAAGGTATGTCGATTAGAAAGAGTCAGCATGGATTTCTAAAGGTAAAATTGTGTTTAACTGATTTGCTGGAGTTTTTTGAAAAGGTAGAAAGGGTTGATGAGGGTAATGCTGTTGATGTAGTAATACGCGGATTTCCAGAAAGTGTCTGATACAGTGCCATACAACAGACTTGAGAGCATTAAAAGGTAATTGGTCATGGTATAAAAGAGACAGTAGCAATGTGGATACAAAATTGGCTGAGTGATCGGAAACCGTAGTTGTCAGTGGACATTTTTTGCGTTGTAGGAAGATTTGTAGTGAAGGTCCTCGGGCTTGGTATTGGGACCCTTTGTTTTTCCTGATATATATTAATGATCTGGGTCTTGATGTGCAGGGTACACTTTCCAGGTTTGCAGATCACCCTCAACTTGAATTATGAACTGTGAGGAACTCTTAAAAGGACATTTACAAGTTGAAGAAGTGGATGGACAGGTGACAGATGAGGTTCAATGCAGAGAAGTATTAGGTGGTGTACTTTGGTTGGAAAAACATTGAAAAATGTTATAAAATAGAGAATACAGTTCTAAAGGAGGGGCTGGAGCAGCAGGTCCTCTGTGTATATGTGCGCAGATCGTTGAAGGTGGCAGAATAGTAAATAAAAATACACCAGAGCAGTAAATAAAGTGTATAGTGTTTTCGGCCTTATTAAGAAGGCACAGAGTACAGCAGCATGGAGGTAGTTTTGAACTTGTACAAGAAACTTGTTAGACCTCAACTGGACTATTGTGCGCAGTTATGGCTGCCACATTAGAGGAAAGATGTGAATGCATTGGAGAAAGAACAGAAGCAATATTCTTGAATGTGCCAGGAATGAGAAACATCATATATGAGGATAGATTGAAGAATTTGGTACTGCTCTTCTTGGAGAAAAGAAAACTGAGAGGAGATTTGATTGAGGTTTTCAAAATCATGAGCTGACTGGACAGAGAGGAAGAAGCTGTTTCCATTTGTAAAAGAAAAGGCGAATGAAGGGGCATAGATTTCAAGGTTTTTGCAAATAAACCAGGAGAAGTGAGGGGAAAGAAACATTTTCACACAGTAAGTAGCCAGGGTATGGAAGGTAATGCCTGGATATGTGGTTGAGGCAGGTTGAATTGAGGCATTCAAGAAGGCATTGGATGATTATTTGGATAGTAATTATGTACGGGGATATGGGGAAAAGGCAGGAGATAGGTAATAGAACCAGAGGGCTAAAAGGCCACTTCCTGCGTCATAGCCATGACGTGATTCAATGACTTGGTATGTGCCACTTTATCTCACACAGAATGTGTTGTACATATGTGCATCAATTAACTAAAATGCATGTGGATTTTCTTTTTCTAAAAATTCAAGAGAATTTCAGCCTCCATATTCAGTGTCAGCTCTGCCTACTTGGGTTGTGTTTGTTCATGCCACAGATGCCATTAACATTGCACCTTAAATTAATTAGCAGGACTTGAGCTTAGCCAGTCTGCAATATGTCTGTATATGGTTACTTCTGTTGCACAGCGTGACTGGCTTTTCTGATAGTTACAAACTTAATTAAACTTTTCAGTCATATGATGTGAGTTCCATTAGTATGCTAGTGCATACCGGTTTGTTTGAGTGCTGTCTATAAAAGACTGTTTTCATAATTTATGATAAACCAGATATAGTCTATGTAGGATTTCAGTAAAATATAATGGTGTGTGAAATTATCAAACAGTATACTGCAACTGTTTTATCCATGATGATTTCAGTAAAAGGTAGTTGTGCACATATGAAACTCTGCATGGAGCATATTGACTTTTGTGTAAAAATTAAGGAATAATTTGTTACTTTCTTATTTGGTTATACTGACAGAAAAATTAACTTTGTTAACTTTTGCAAGCTAGACAACATATCTATGCCATTTCATCTGTGACAATTACAGGTTCTTCAGACCTGAGTCTCAAGTATATAAAGGTCAATTCCATAAGTGCAGCAGACAAGGACTGTGTGCAGTGGTCAGTATCATTTTGAAGCAGACCAGCAAGAGTGTGCAGTCGATTAGAATCTCTTTGAGGCAGACTGAGGAATGTGAAACAAATTAAGGTCATGGAGAAGATTAACAGAAGGTTGAAATCAGGATTGGGTGTATAGGAAAAAAAATTAACAGGAGTTTGTAAGAAAGGCATGTCAGTAATCATGACCGAATCCGATTGATAATGAAGTAAACAGTCCTGGGATGGGGTGGTTCAAAACTAGGGTGCATATTTTTAAGGTGAGAGGTGTTGTGGACAGATCAGAACCCCTCAAAATATTTTAAGAAGGTAACCTAGAGCTTAATTTTTTTCAATTTGAAATGCAAATGTGAAGTGTCTGTTTCAGATGCAATGCGACTAGTCAAACCATTCGACAGTAAGCAAAAAACAATTTATTTAAACACTGCAGTTAAAATACAACCAAAGAAAGAGAAATTTAGAATAATTTAACTCTATTGGAAACTTAATAAATAATAGATATAGTAACTATTACTAATTAACTGTTCCAATATGGTAACATTCCATAAACACACCTCTTGGCAAAAAAAGGAAAATTCACACACGGATTCTTGCATGCAGTCCTCCAATCCAGGAGGAGAAAACGTTGTGAAAATTCAGAGAGAGTAGCAGCCAGGAGCCATTCATTGAAGGTTCCAACTCTGTTGTGACTCAAATAGCTTCTGCTTAAAGCTAAACCTAAAAACTAAAAAGCTGGCAAGTCTGAATTGTGAGAGCTGGCCACATGCAGGCTGCTTCCGTTTTTCCAACTTGTTTAAAAAAAAACCCCAAGGCACCACAAGCCATTTACTTTCTTAGAAACAGCTCAGCGCCTCTGCCTGACAACCTCTCTTCAAAAAAACCAGGACAGAATAATATCTTGAAAGCCACAGCATCATCACAGAAGAGAAAGATTTAAAAAGGACCCGAGAGGCAACTTTTTCACACAGAGGATGGTTCATATGTCGAATGAACTGCCAGAGGAAGTAGGTGCAGGTACAGTTACAACATTTAAGAGACATTTGGACAGGTACATGAATAGGAAATGTTTAGAAGGATATGGGCCAAAAGTAGGCAAGTGGGATTAGCTTAGTTTGGGAAATTTGGTTGGCATGGACGAGTTGGGCTGAAGGGCCTGTTTCGGTGCTGTATGACTGTGTTTCCTAACCACTTTATCCACCTCTTCTAAAATCTCAAGGGATTGATATGCATGCTCACCAAGGTCCTTCTGATCCTCAGTGCTTCCCAACATCCTATTCATCATGTATTCCCTTATATTGTTTGTCCTGCATCACCTCACATTTAACCAGATAATGTGCAATGTGTTAGAATTAATTAATTGCATTATGATAAAGGAACTGCTGTAATACTGATCCTAACATGACTATGAAATGTAATCAGTTTGAGAGAGAAGAGTGGGTCTAAGATGACCATTTAAACTTAAAGGCAATTGCAAGAGTGCAGAGATGACATCTGGCTAAAGGAACCTGGGAAATGAGTTAAAGGATAGGACAGTAGAGATACAATGGCAGACGGGAGATATTTCATAACGCTCAACCAAGACAAATTCCAGTGAGGCAGGAAGACTGTAGAAGGAGGATGCATGAATTGTGGCTAACTAAGGAAGTTAAAGTACAATGTCTTAAAACTGATAACATTTGGACTGAAGCCATGCTGAATTTTGGGCTGGATAGTTTGTGCTAAATAGGGCCGGATACAGTCACTTGGTGCGCTTAGACCCAACCGCATAAGGTGAAACAGACAAGTGATCTGATGCCACATCTCCTCAATGCAGCTTAGAGTTGAATTGTACAGGCAAGGTTTTCCTAATTTTATTTGAGATGAATATAGGGAACACTGTAAAGATGTCCAGTTTTCAAAAATCTCCAGTTTTTGGACAGCTGGATTTGAAACACTGCCTGTACAGTAAAATTTAATGAAAAGGTGTGCACTTTGGCGAAGATTAATGGAAAATCAGAAGATTGGGCACTTTAAAAACATCAATAGATCGTGTAAAAAGAAGTTAGAGCATGAGTAAAAGCTAGCATGAAATCTA